TTTCATTAGAATGTAAATCTGTATTAAGGTTTTTATCTAAATTCAACGAAAGAGACGAACGCAGTTTCGCTGGTTCAGGATTAACAGAAACTTTGGCCTTTCGTAGTTGGTAAATGCTGTTGTGGTAGTGCGCGTATAAATTACCACTTGGCTTTTTACACTTTTTGTATAAGTAGTAAGTATCCTGTAAACAGTAAATTAATTAGCAAACCTAAAATCAAATCCATTTTTTTTTATCTAATGCATTACCTTAGATTCCTTTGGAAAAAGTTGTATAATAAAAATAAAGTACATTATTATGTGACATAAATCATAATTGAGAACGCCTTCAAAAAGATCATGCAGAAGGTCGACTGCGAAATTTTCAATAACATGAAAACTATGCAATTTATTGAAAATCGAATTTTCTCTGACACCTGTTTGTTGTACGTTACTAATTTGAACGTCAGATTTATAATTTTCTTTGTTGCGTAGCTTGTCAGAAACTTCTTGAGCTTCATTTTGGCATTCTGTTTTGCTTGTTTTACAGAATCTACAAAAATAGGTAGAAGAAAAAAGATCGTGAAAAACCTAATATGTAATTCAAAGCCAAGTTGTCACCCAAAACAAGACCTAGTGCAAAATAAATAGTTTTTACATGGTTATTTACTTTTATTTGCAATCCATTTTGTTCTAAATCGTTAAATATTTCAATTAATTTGTATAAACATCGATCATTACCGAATTTGTGTACGTCTTTTGATTTAAATAAAGCTGCTAGAAAAATGAATTCTAATTTATGATTTAAACAGGTAGGTGCTGAAGGCAAAGAATAATAAGCTGCTAGAATAGGCTCTGTGTGAGAACTTAAGGGATTGTTTAATTCTATATCGTCGAAATACAAGAAAATAGGAAACATAATACGTTCAGAATTTTGGCATTTTCGCTTCCAAAGCGATCCATTTATAAAATTTTTAAGTGAGACACTTCTTGATAAAATAGCTTTATTATTTTGAAATTTTTTCATACACTTCCGGTAATTCAAAATATTTTTTAAGTTGGAATTTTATTGGGAACAAAATACCTGCTGCAATTGATTCGTCTATTGCTTTGAAATTACATGAAATCAAGTTAGAAAGTGAATTATCAATTTGGATTACAGAAGGATTTTCGTACATATCTGAATCTAATAACGTTTTAACAAATGTATGCTCTGAAGAAAAACTGGCGAATGGTGCCTTACAAAACGATATTAGCTCATTTAAATTCTCACGAACTTCGCTATGATCTGGCTCTAATTTTTTTACAATTTTTTCCAATTCCCCACTAATTGGACAAGTTATAAGATTTGTTATATTTTTTTGTAGTAACGTTACTTCCTTTCGGTGCAAGTAGTTGCTGGAATATTTTTCTAATGTAAATTTCAAACAGTTTTCTTTTAACAAATTTAAGTTTACATTTGATGTTGGTTTTTCAGTACTGTTTTCTATTTTTCTTTTTTTTTGACTTGAATTGATTTCGGAATCAATAGAAATATTAAATGCTGTTTCACTTTCTGTATGTATTGAATTGATTTCAGAATCAATAGAAATATTAAATGCAGTTTCACTTTCTGTATGTCCATGCTTTTTTTCCTCATTTCTCATATGGCGACGAAATGACTTAAAATCATCAAATTTATGTTTACACTCTAGAAAACAGCATTGGAAATAATCTACAGCACCTTTATGATGAACATATTGCAGATGTGTGAATAACTTTTCACATTGAAAAAATATTTCACCACAGACAAAACAGATTACCATTTCTTAAATTAAGAGAGATCGCTAATAAGCGATGAAACACAGCTCAAGTTTTCGTGTGTCAAATTAAAGAAATATTTCGCCAAAAACTCCCACACTTGTTTGCACTCTGCTGGGTATTCTAAATCTAACGTTGCGAATAATTTTAAGCAGACATCTATGCTTTTCATAAAATTTCCTACTTTGTAATAGCTGTTAGCGAAGAATATATAAAATTCCGTCAAATTTATATCATCTTCACCGATTCCGCACAAATGTGGTTGAACTGTTTCTCCAGCTTTGCACTTATTGATACCTTCAAGTATCTTATGTTGAAGCTCTTGCCTGGTAGCAGCATGTATAAGAAATGCTTCTCTGGACTCAAATAAAGTTGTTTTCTTGTTCTTTTTGCGATGAGTCGGTTTTAACATACTATGAAGCAACAAGGAAACAATCACATCACGTGCATCTACAAAGCAAATATAAGAGTATTATTACTCCTTGATACATTTCATAATGTAAAACAATTGAAGCTTACTTTTATCAATATTGGTTGTTAATTTTTCCAATAATTGAAGACCATATTTGTCTTTGGCGTAATTGTTAAAACGCGGTATCAATTTGGTTACGAGATTGTCCCATTCTTCCAATAAGCAGTTTGATTTTAGAGGATATTTTTTTTCAAAGTCCAATTCGATCTATGAAACAAACAAATTTCTTGTAATTAAATAATCACATAGACGAAACAACCTTTTACCAAAAAATATCCAAACTGTTGCTTTAGAATAGGCCACTCTATTAAAATATCGTTTGTTGTAATTGTTGAATTAAATAACTTTTGTCTTGTCTCGTATGTAACATTCCAGTATTCTACCACTTTATCGTACGGTTCAATGTTGTTTTTAAGCCAATTTTTCGCTTCGTTTTCATTAGAATGTAAATCTGTATTAAGGTTTTTATCTAAATTCAACGAAAGAGACGAACGCAGTTTCGCTGGTTCAGGATTAACAGAAACTTTGGCCTTTCGTAGTTGGTAAATGCTGTTGTGGTAGTGCGCGTATAAATTACCACTTGGCTTTTTACACTTTTTGTATAAGTAGTAAGTATCCTGTAAACAGTAAATTAATTAGCAAACCTAAAATCAAATCCATTTTTTTTTATCTAATGCATTACCTTAGATTCCTTTGGAAAAAGTTGTATAATAAAAATAAAGTACATTATTATGTGACATAAATCATAATTGAGAACGCCTTCAAAAAGATCATGCAGAAGGTCGACTGCGAAATTTTCAATAACATGAAAACTATGCA